AATAAAGCTTTATATATAGGGAGTGATCAAAAAAGTGATCCAACCCGAACCATTTTGAATAGTGTTCGCCTTTGTGCCAAAATATATCAGTACACGAAATTTCATAATAAAATCTCGAAAATTGCGACCTGGAGGCTGAACAAGACAAGGCAGACAGACGGACAGACAAGTTTAGATTGAATTAAAAAGTGATTTCAAATCGAAACAAGTTACAATAAAACGCGTGTTTACCACAAATCCTTCTCGGACTTGTCGCACACATCCGCACAAACTTAATATACCTTTACACCTTAAGTGGTGTAGGGTATAAAAACAAAAGAAGAAAAAATTAAATCAATTAAAACGACAGTGACATTATTTTATACAGAAAAAAAAATAAAAAAAAATAATCATTATCTTTATGAGCAGTAAATATAGAAGTCTGTTGGTAGAGTGGCGTCAAAATTTCACATGAACAAATGTGTGACAGACGATACATAAACCAGATGACAGCGGTCTAATCGACAACTTGCTTAGAAACAATACATCCGCCGTCCACCATTACGAAATGCCTTTCATGAATGAATGAAAAGCAATAATTGAAACGAGAACCAAATTACTTATCACAATTTTAATGATTTTATCACTTCAATTAAAATATTGACCGTAGAAAAGGATATTAAGGCCAGGTATGTAATGAAAGGTAAATGTTGGAAAAAAAAGGTGAAAATTTTATTTTTTTTTTTTCAAATTTTCTTAAACAACATAGGAAGTAATTTTTCAGCCATTCATAGACAATTCTTTTGCTTTATCATACACGGCTAATCGTAAATGTCTCCGTTTTAGACACGCGCTTATGCGATTCAAATATATTTTAAACATTCTTCGGCATCGATTAAATGTGTCCGTTTTTTTGTTTTTTTTTTTTTTTGTTCGCTATCTGTAATGAATACTTTTGCTCGTAATTCTTTTTAACCGAACCAATTCTATTTGGCATTTATGGAGCGAGAAGACTTTTCTCAAATATCCTAAAAATCAAATCACAATTAAATAAAGAATAAAAAATAATCAACTTCGGCTTTAGGAAAGGATACTTAGTTGTTTGACGCCGCGATTATTCGTATGCACATTCTGTGTCTAAAAAAAAAATGAATAAGTTATGCAAGAAAAGTGATTCTGGCTAGAGAGTGATATTCTCTTCATTTATCAGGGGGTATCTGATTTTTTATTGTAAAAAGAGAATGACTTTTATTAAGTTCAGATATTATTTTTTAAATGTCAACCATATTTTCGGACAAATTCTTTATATTAGATATACTTTAAAGCGATAATCAAAATTGCATATTAGATAACGTTCCCGCACTTATTTTCCATGTAAAAATTGGCCAAAAATTGTTGCAAACTAATGGAGAATATTTAGTTGTTCCAGAAGCAACTGAGCATTTCATATTCGAACTTCAACTTCAAATTTCAATTAGCCTCTTTGGCTAGGTATCTTGACATCCCATAGAGCGATTTTAGAGCATCAGTTTCTTCTTATTTTCGCAATTTTGAAGGAAGCGGCTCTAGTTCAGGCGGTACGTTATGAAACGATTTATCAATTAAAAGATCTAGGAACGACGCCGGATATGCTAAATGCCAGTGAAGTAAAGGGACAACCCTGACAAGAATGCCAAAAGAGACGATAATGATGCTGATAATATTCTCTTCAAGACGACTGATTATGACGGGCGGATTGATGAAGAACCTTGAGAATTAATTCTGCAGAGATATAAATTCCCTAAACGGTAAGACACCATTTCTGCTTTTAATCGTGCAAAATTACGTAATTAGGTTTAAAAATACTTTTTAAAGACCCTATAAGATATGTACATTCTTGATCGGCGTGAAGCTGTGAATTGATTAGGCCATGTCCGTCCGTCTGTCCATCTGTGTGTATGTGTAGCGTGTGTCTTTGGCACTCTCTTGTTCGCAAAATTTTGGTAAAGACATTATAAGTTTTCGCATGCAGGTTGTTATTAAAAATGGGTCAAGTTGATCAGAGCAGAAGCCCATATTAGAGCGTAAACTGAACGCAACTCCACTTTGCTTAACATGAAAGGACTTGGAGAGTAGAATGCGAGAAGCTAAGTGTGTTAACCTTAAATTAATTGTAGCACACACAACTTGGTGCGATAATATGAAGAACGTTTAATATATAAAGTCTTGGAGCGTTTAGAAAAAACCGTTTTCTTCGACATTAAAATCCTAAGTGGGCCAAGTTTTTTTTTATTTTTATTTAGATGAGCAATCACTCAAGGAATGTCCCTCATATACGGGAACGAGGTAAGGAGACTAATGGACGTGTGCCGAGTCGTTAAGGATTATGTCTATGTGGACTGAACTTTTGTCTACAGCTACAACAAAGTATCGTCTACAGAACTGAGATTTTTGCTCACGAATACTGACTTATGGATCACGACTCTTATATACGCCGCTCTGCGCCGGCCCACTTGGAGTCTTTATCGATAACATAACTGTAAGGCAGCGAATAGAGACAAGAACTTGTTTGGTACTGCAAAGAGTCTCGATTATTGGGATAAAATACATATCTAAAAGGCCTGGGGAGAAAATAAGCTTTACGGGACGTGCACTTCACAATTTCTTCTCCTGCGCAATCTATATCTTATAATCAGACTACATTAAGTAATTTCCTTTTTTCAACACAAACTTCTAACGGACATAAAAAATTCGATTCCGTCCTCTACACGCCCTTTTCTCTCTTAACATTGTACTTATATAAGAATTCTTCCCGTCCTTCCTGAATTACCAAACACTCAAGTGGAACACTCAAGGAGGAACTGGAGAAAGAGATACGTAGTGGTTGCAGGTTAGTGAATGTTACGCTTACACTAACGAGCCACTTAATATAACTATGTCCAAGTATGATCTACGTGAGGACCGACGCTCTTATTTACTCAATTTTGCGCTCTGGAGAATAATAATAATTTTAATCAAGTGATGTTTAAAGTGTCAGTTTTAATAAGAGAATACTGCTAAGGCGATCAATGAAAAAGCAAGCATTAGTTACGGCGAAGATTGAAGAAGCCATCGGGCAGTGTGAAATTGATTTGACAAATGCAGTTCTAGAGATATTACTTTAAACGCCTTTTAAAATGTTCCCAGTCTTCCTGGCAATATCGGAGCAAAATCCACATCAATGAAGAGGAGATATGCACAAGAAAAATTGAGCAAATCATAAACAACTGTTTACCGAAGTCTGGCAAAATTAGTTGAAAAAGAAACAACGGAAATTATTTATGACTCGACCTAATATTTACTGAGGAGATATAATTTTCGCTACAAATCCTCGCTATGAAGTTATCTTGCTTTATAAAAATTATAAAAATAATTCTGATTTAAATTTGACTATAACAAGTAAAAATATTGTAACAGGACGTGGCCCACCGTTAAATACTCTACATCACTGTGCTTAGTATAGTTGTTCATACAACGACTTTTCAAAATAACATTTTACAAGGTTGTAAACAATTTTCAATGGCGTCCTTCCTTGGGCACAGCTCGTCGGTATAGCAAAGTTCATCGTAATATCTAAAAAATTGTGACCTAGAGGATGATAACAGGAAAACAAAAGGCATAGGCGGACAGACGAATTTACATGAACAGATATCAAATGGTTAGATGGGCTTAGATCGATTTAGAAAATGATTCGGGATCGATCGATATAATAAAAGGGAGGTCTATTCTAAGCAGACATTAGGCGGACATACGGACAGACAACCTAAGATCGATTCAGAAACTAATTCTAAACCGATCGATAATATACTAGATAGGTCTATCGCAACTCCTTCTAAGCCTTACATACATCCGTACAAATTTAATACCCCCAGGTGCCACAAATGGTGTAGGATATAATCAGTTAATAATAATAATAATAATAATATCTGAGGTAACAGGAATTTCTTTATGCAATCTTGAGTGTCTTTGTATATGATATTCGTTTACAATGTCTTGGGAAATTCGATTCACTTAAAATAGATAATGATCTGTATTGCCAATATTTTAAAAAATAATAATTTCTTCTCGACAACGAAAAGTACAACTTCGTAGTACTTCGCAGGTATAGTTGAAGAAAGCAAGAACATTTTTTTCATACTTTCTTTTACTTATGTACGATAATTGTGGACGGGATTTGATTTACTTGAAGGGAGAAAACAAAAAAAAAAGAGAGGAAATTACAGACCTAATGAAAAGCCCTACACAAGAACCTGTAATTTATATAAAAAAATCAATCTGTTAAGAACTTTTTTTTAAATTCCAAAAGCATGATCTTACTAAGAGAAAATTTCAAATATAATTTGAAGCTCCCACGTACGTCCTATGGAAAAGGGGGCAGTTATCAATTCTATGGAGACCAGACGCGCCGCCGATCATCTATCGATTTTTTTTTAATTTTGATTTGACTAAACGGAGAGATAGACAGACATGCCCGTAAACAATTCTAACTAAATTCCCTCATTCTTAATCATCAGGAATATATGTCTTGCAAGATTTCATCCATCGCTTTATTAACTTTTCGCGAATAGTATATAGTGTAAACTATGCGATGAATAGAAGAAAAATTCGTGGAATTTGGTAAAGCTCCGAAAGCGATGTCTGATTGGTCCAATCCAATAACAAATGATTTAAATTTCTCTCCAAATGAATGATGTTTGCACAACGGGCAATGGATCCTGGAAGTGATTTTAATAACTCTTTTCTTATTCGAGTAGGATGGCAAATAATAATTCGTATAATGAATCAAGTATAAAGTTTGCTACATCTTCGGTGCGAACGAGTTCTCTACAATCGAAATTTTACTTTATTGAGTCAAATAAAAGAAAAACAAAAGCATCAAGCGTTATAGTTATTATTAGACTTGACTTAGACTGAGAACTGGGTGTAAGTAAAAAAGAACCAACAAATAACAATAAAGTTTAGGCAGGTCAATGTCTGTTCAGGTATAGGGCGTTAACACTTACGCCAACCGAATATATCCATTTTCAATGTGGTTTAAAATTCTTCAAAAGCTTTCGCCTCCTTCGCATTATTACGCTTTACCTTAAGATGCATGTTAAAGTTCCACAATCAAAGTATTGCCAAAGTGTATTTATATATAATATTGCCTTGTAAAATCCGAATTGAATCGAATTTGAATATTCTCTACAATTGAGTTATAAATGGATTTCGAATCTTCTTCTTCTTCTTCTTGTTCTTCTTTTTCGGAATTTTTTTTTTTTTTTGTTTTTAACACAATAACTTAATTAATATAGTTTTCATCATTATAACGGAATCACGGAATCACTTGTCTTGCAGGCAAAATGAAAAAAAAAAAAAAATTGTTCCGTAAATAAAAATGCGACAATGTATTGCGCGTTTAGCTCCGATTTTTATTTTAACTGCGGTACTATGGAGGATCGTAATCATAACGCAAGCACCTTGTTACCGCCGCTGACACCAGCACTAGACTTATTATTATTATTATTGTTCTACCCATACCTTGGAATTATCTGAATATGTGAAAATGTTTATGTATATGTGGACGCAGACACCTTAATGCCGTTTGTTGTTATAAATTTTTTGTTGATTTTTTTTCATTTTTTTTTTTAAATATTTTTTTAACATTTTTCAAAAGGAAAAGTCTGCGGTTAACCTGAACAACAATTTTATAAGCGGGAAAAACGCTTATGTATAAGTGTACATACGCTTATTACGTATATATATGTAGGTGTGTGTGTTTATATTATAATGAGAGTTTGTGAATTATGATTTATTTATTTAACACACCAATACATAAATAGAAACCGATATTATAATTCTCTATACTATAGTTAAACTTAATACACTCGCACCCCTATATATACTTATTACCTGTTTGTGTATATGTTTCGGTATATTTGTTTGTTATCTTATCGCGTTGTCGAAAAGATAAGTTTCACTCTTCGCTTCGCTATACACATACAAGCATTCATATATATACTTAAAAAAAAAAAAAAAAATAAGAAACGGAAAGAATGTTATTATTGTAGATGTTTTTGTTGCTGTTTTTGTATCTGTTGCTGTCGTGCTGATAGATATCAGTGTGCTACAAATTGCGCGTGCGTGTTCAGTTTAATGTGCATGTATGTGATTCTATTCCACAAGTACGTATCTACCATATTATGACACACACATGTATGTGCAATTAGCTAAAGTAACATTGGTTCATTGTTCGTTATAGTTGGCAAACACAGGTAACTCTTTACTTACGCGGTCAATGCACAAATCATTTTTATTTTCAACAACCGCAGATTAAGCGATTGATCGGTTTAAAATGTTAGAAAAAAAATTAAATTTTTCTAAAAGTTTTTAACTATAGCACCGTGAAAAACAGCCCTGTGGTCCGGTAAAAAGTACTTTTTTACAAGCCACACCACAAGGGTATATTAAGTTTGTTCGGATGTATGTAACACTCAGAAAGACTTCAAATTGATTCCCTTTTCATTATATCGATCAATTCACAATCACTTTTTAAGCTTGTCTGTCCGTCTGTCCGTCTGTTCGTCTTGTTTTTTTTTTTTTTTTATTCAACCTATAGGAGATATTGGGAAAAATGATTCGAATCGCATCACTTTTTCTCCCACTCCCCGTATAAAGCCTTTATTTTGAAAACTCGTTATATGAATAACTGTATTAACTGTATTAAGCGAAGTGGAGTAACCTATTTCCTGGTAGACCGTGTCCCATTAAACTATTTTTACTTCTTTTCATTTATTACATAGATTCCGAGAGATAGAGAAGCCGGAATATAAAGCTTAAAAAACCATTACATAACGGAAAGTAACTTATCATATATAAGAGGTTATGTTTATCGGTTTGGGCTGGGGCTACGAGTTTTATGAAAGATGTCAAAATATGGGAAAAACTTGTTCGTCAACTAAATAGGCATTAATTGTGTCGAACTAGGAAGCAAAAACCATGGTGCAGCTCTATTTCATTTAGTATCCTAATCCTCTGTTTCCACTCGAAAACTATCTGAGTTTACATTGGATGGTAAATTCCTGATGAACAACTGACCAAAGCATTTTGAAAGTTAGAAGAAGCTCCGAAATAAGATTTCAAAAAGGAAACACGTCCATTTATTTCAAATCAATGAATTCACGAACATTGAGGTTATGTACGCTAAAAGGCGATTTGGAATCGATTCATTTTGTTGCAAGCTAATCCTGTACATAAAAATGAATCTTACGGTTAAACATATATTTTGCAAACCCCAATACCTTTCCAGTTCTCATAATCGAAACGTCTAACTCTCTAGATGTCTTGTAATTAGCTGGGAAACTTCTTAATATCAATAAAATGGCGAGTGGACTAAACAATTAATCCAATTTTCAAAAAAGGAATCGATAGTGTTATCTGGTGATACTTATCCTAAAAGACTAATCAGATGAGTAAATAAAAAGGGACTTAACAGTCTCACGGTAACATATATATTATGGGTTACATGGCTTAACCACTTTTTTCAACAGGTTATAAGTGAAGACGTTACTTTTTCTTATAACAGTAATGGCAGATCAGTTAAAGCATATCAATCAAAATCTTCAAACTGAAGTTTCAAATGCAAAATTAACTTAAAAGCCCTCGATTAATAATGAGGTTATGTCGGTTCTATGCAGTCCACCTAATTGGCAGCATTTTCTCGCCGATCGCAGCTGGGAAATCGAAATGTCTCCACTTCCATCACTCCGACCATAAGTGCAATAATGGCTTTAAAAGGTTAATCAAATAAAGTGGAGGTTATGTTCGGTTTAGGCAACCAATGAAGCATTGATTGAAGTTGATTGTTGCTTACAGTAATAGCTGAAGTATTGTAAGGTAACTAAAATTTCAAAAGAAAAACTTGAGAGTAGACATTATCTTGCATTTGTGGAAGGGAGCCTCAATAATTTGCTAGGAGACGCTTGACCGCATTTAGCGGAAGGATCAGATGAACACGAACAACGAAAGGCAAGAGTCGGCTTAACTTGGGCTGTGAAGTGATTATATATAGGTCCATTTAAATACATAGTGTTCCACAGAGAAAACGGATGTTTGTCCACCAATCAACAGGACCACAAGGTTTTTTCAGCGTTCCCACCTAAACGGCCTGGAATTTTTAATTGTCGTGCGGCACACCAACGCGGCTCGTCATTTTTTAAACACACTACGCGCCTTTGGAACAATCTATCAATAGTAGTATTCCTCATCGTGGCCGATGTTTCCGCATTAAGTCAAACATACCCAAACGTTACCTCCATCCTTCTGTATCAATAATTCTTTTTGAAAGAAAACGAAGAATTTACAGTGATCATAAGAAGACAAAGAATATCTTCGATACTAAATTTTGTAAATTTTTTTTACTATAAATAAATTTTACAAAATTATAAAACATTTTTCCTTTAACAAAAAAAAAAAAAATATATATATATATAAAAAAAAATGCAACAAAAACATGCAATACCTCTAAAGGAACTTTCACCTAGACTCAATGCTCATAAATATTTCTTATTTTTTTAAGGTCTTTCGCTTACGCGTAAAAGATGGACCGCCTGTACATAAACATTTCCGTCCATTTGTTAGTTATATGTTAAGAAATAACAATAAAAAATTTCAGGTAAATTGTTTTTTTTTTTATTTTCTTTTTAATGAATTGTTTGTTTATTTATTTGGTTAAATATCAAAAACATATAAACAATGAAAATTCATCATCTAACTTATTTAAATGTATACATACTTTTATTCCCTTAAAATTTATAATTTTCTAATTGTCTTCTTCTTAAGCGGTTTGCTTCTTCGATTCTTCATTATCATTAACTGTTTTTCGCGTCCTGATTATTTACTCTTAGTTTACAAATAATACGAGTTCATAAAATGTATGTATGTGTGTGTGTGTGTTTGTGCGTGTGTACATAAATTTAAGTAAACATTATGACATCAAATAGAAAATTTATTATATTTATAATCACCACCGAAAGATGACACCGTCGCTAGGCTTTTCCATTTTACTTGCAAGCCATCGATAAACGCCTCAACATATATAGTTTGTTGGATCAATTAAGTCATCATATATATAGCGCGATATTTATATACTCGTTCAACGGTTAGGGGATGTTGAAATAAAAATGAAATATCTATTAGGCTAACATCGTGAGCTTGCTCCATCCAATTCCCGTTTGGTTCAAATTCAAACCTTGACTTGATCAATACCAATAATAGCTTATCAACAGTGAGAGCGGAAGAGAGAGAGAGACGGCACAGCTTCCATTGAAAAAAATAAAAATATTTACAAAATTTTTACGCTTGTAATACGCTCGTGTTTGATGAGCTGTATCAAATTTTTCACATCACCCACACCTTCAGTTTATAAGAGCCAATGGTTTGGTTTGCTTTCTCTTCAGTCGAGAAAACGATGTCCTTACAATGATTTATGTTTTCTAAGCATTACTAGAAGTCGGACGTAATTAAATCACGTAAATAAGATGATTGCGTAACGAAATGCGTTGAACTTTTCAAAAGTTACCCGGCAACAAAAGCTGCCCTTTAGCCATCAGTTTCATGCCAAGGACGCAAAAGGCTCAAAGCATATTCTTTGTTAGCAGTTTGTCTCGCCGGAGGGAACTCTTAATCCACCGAACCCCGATGAAGGAAGAAGAAAAAGTTTTGTTGCTTTTTGAATCTAGTGGTAAGTGATGTCATGATATCAGACTATCGTATAGTCTGACTACGAAGTCAGTTCAATGTTCGATATGACGATATGATCGTGAATGTGGCCGCAACTGTAGTGAATACTTGATCTGCATAAGCATAACATTTTCCTTGCGGCAATAACACATTTCTCAGGCCACGGACACCCGAGCTATCTCTCTTCTCCACTACTTCTGTTTCCCGAACAATTAACGTGTTTTTATACTTGTATAGGGAACATGCTCAGAGTGATTCTTCAGGACAAGGTAATGTATATATATATATATACATATATACATATATATGTAATATACATATGAAATACACGTATTGCGTGTATTTTGATCAGTGACATTTATTTGTAAAAATGACAAAATAATGCAAAGCATCAATGTACATAACGGTTAAATTCGATGAATTGAAGGGTGCTTTGAAAATTGAACTGCATAGACTATTAGTTGAAAATATTTTTGCTTTCCCTTAATTCTTTTATTATTTTAATCATATCAAACTTATTGAAACACCCTACATATGCATACAAACATAAGGTAATGTTAAGAATTACTTAAATAAGTAGAACTCAATAGAACTCAAATACCGTATCAGACCAATATTTTTAAAATTCACATAGATTTTATTGAATCAATTTTATTGATACGTTTACCATAGCTTGCACACGCCAACGTTTTTTTTTTTGATATAAAAAAAGAAAGAAAGAAAA